TTTTCATGCACTGAATAGCCTATACAGGGCTCCAGACTCCTCCTTCCCACTGCTCGCTCTGTTGCAACTAACTATCTCAGCTGGTCGCATGAGCACATGATTTGCTCGCAATATATATATTTAATTTTTTTGCGCTACAGCATGGGCTTATTCAATGCATGCTGATGAACTTTTATCATAGTTTATAGTTATTAACCCGTTCTTTATCATCAGTATATTATTTGTGATTTGATTTTTGTGAATGGGAGTTTCTCTTTTGCTGTGTTAAGCCGCGGGCTTCGGATGCTTTCACTTTCGAATTCGCGATCTTGTTGTCACTGTTTTGCTTACATACATCTACACACCTTTCATTTCTTAAGACTAAAACAAAAGATGGATTCATTGTTATTCTTAATTAAAAAGCACAATAAACCAGTAAGAGCGAATAAGATGAGGCCACATGCTGTATTATGTAACGACTAATAAATTACAGAACGTTTAGCAAACACTGAGGAATCAAATAAATAAATAAAAGAGAGCCTCCATAGCTTAAGGTAAACGGCAAAGATACGTTTTTCAAAAATGAAAACAAAAAGAAAAGTAAAGCTAACAGTGACAGTGCTTGCATGTTTCTCACATGCAACAGAACTTGCAGCGCTTATGAGTTGACCAACGCCATAGTGACCGCACACTAAATCTTGTCGCACCGGCAGAAACAATGGTCTCAGTCTGGAGCCCTGCGCTATATCATCTGAAGCCCTTCCATCTCTTACTGCGAGGGACCGAATCTAGGTTTACAGACACTCCTCTTCCTCCTGCAGCTAGTAAAGCTAACGGTGACAGTGCTTGCATGTTTCTCACATGCAACAGAACTTGCAGCGCTTATGAGTTGACCAACGCCAGAGTGACCGCACACTAAATCTTGTCGCACCGGCAGAAACAATGGTCTCAGTCTGGAGCCCTGCGCTATATCATCTGAAGCCCTTCCATCTCTTACTGCGAGGGACCGAATCTAGGTTTACAGACACTCCTCTTCCTCCTGCAGCTGTCAGGCATTCTCTCCAGGATCATATTCACATTATTATACTTTAGTTTCAGGAAGGAAGGAATTATCACACACAGAAAGATTATTAGAAGCCTTTCTTTTTCTCATCATTTCTATCTTATGCTCATGAATGTATTTTGTGAGAACACAAATAGTTAACAGAATAAACATGTTTAAATTGTATAATGTGCACCAAAGATTTTTTTTCCAAGATATTGTTTCTGCTGCTAAATTATACAGTCAGCTAGTTTAATTTCATAGCTTATATGTTTGTATTCGGATGTAGTTTTCCTCTGTAATGAGGAAGTGAGTGTTTAGTGGATTGCGTTTAACAAAGGGTTTAAAAGAGTGAGCATTAGTGCCAGAAACACAGTATGATATTCTGCAGTGGTGTAGAAATAATAGCGCTGTGTTGGTCGATTATTAGAAGTTGGAATACTCTGTAATCTTACACTGCAAAATAATACCTCGAAAAGATTAAAAGATAACTTCATAATTATTTACTGAACCCTTAAATTAATCAATTATATAACGAAAGCCATAAAACAGACAATTAATTGCAATAACGTGACTATTTTTAGACAATTAATCGTCAGCCAAATTTCATAATCGTGACAGCCCTAACTGACCCCAAACCTTTGAACGGTAGCGTATATTGTTAGAAAAGATTTCTATTTTTAATAAATGCTCTTCTTTTTAATTCATCAAAGAATCCTGAAAAAATTATCGCAGGTTCCCAAAATATCTAAAGTTTCTAACATTGATAATAAATCAGCATATTATTATGATTTCTGAAGAATCATGTGACACTGAAGACTGGAATAAATTATATTTTAATGTATATTCAAATAGAAAAACATTATTTTACATCATCATAATATTTCACAATATTACATTTTTCCCTGTATTTTTGATGAAATAAATGCAGCCTTGATGAGCAGAAGAGACTCCTGTAAAACACATTAAAAATCGTTCTGATCCCAAACTTTTGACCGATAGTGTATGTATGCGTGTGTATATATGATTAATTGCATTTTATTTTTGATTACCCCATTACTGCTATCATAAAATACACTTACTTGTAGGTTTAAGATTCTACATATGGCACATTCATTGTCCAAAATTTATATTTTAGTCAGAATTATTGTGCTCCTATTCGATTGCGCTGCTTCTGTTTGGCGCGCGGCGCTGCTTCGCTGAAGTCTGTGAAGTTTAGCAGAGAGTGGAAATATTCCTATGACTTTCTAACGTTTACAGACGGACAATATTCCTGTGAAAACAGCGCAAACGCATTAAACAGCACGGTATCTTATCTGTCAGCAGCACATGAGTCTGTCAGAGCCGCTCTAAACTAGACATGTTAACTATATCTTACCAGTTATTTAAAGCCCTTAATATAAAGCGTGAATGTTTAGGACAAACTGGATCCATGTGGATGGATACCATCACATATAAAAAATATATTGTGCAAACTCGAAATACCGACCAGCCCTATGTGTGTGTGTGTGTGTGTGTGTGTGTGTGTATATATATCTCAATCAATCAATCAATCAATCAATCAATCAATCAATCACTGGTGTGTGCAATCAATCAATCAATCAATCAATCAATCAATCAATCAATCAATCAATCAATCAATCAATCTTAAAGCCCTTAATATAAAGCGTGAATGTTTAGGACAAACTGGATCCATGTGGATGGATACCATCACATATAAAAAATATATTGTGCAAACTCGAAATACCGACCAGCCCTATGTGTGTGTGTGTGTGTGTGTGTGTGTGTGTATATATATCTCAATCAATCAATCAATCAATCAATCAATCAATCACTGGTGTGTGGTGGTGTTCTGAAATGAGGCAAAGTCCTTTTTATTATTATTATCAAATGTAAATTCATGTCCTAGTTGCATTGTCTTGATTACATAAATGTTACTTACACTATCAAAAAAATTTTTTTTTTTTTTCACATGAACAATGTAATCAATATTCTGTTTATTAAAGCCAAGTATGAATCTCAAGTTAGTGTTTTTTAGCATTTTACATTTATTCCAAAATAATAACTCAAGGCAGTAACATTTTAAACCATATGTTTTAGTTGTGAACTTATGTTCAGCTTTTCTTTTTAATAGTTAACTTTTGAACTGTTTTTGAATTTTTTGGTTCGTCCGAGCTTTGATGCTCCCTCGATAACAACCGGCTCATCCGGGTAACTGAAGTCGGCGCTATACGCTTGCTAGGAACCGTTTTCTTAGTTTGGTTAGCTAAGAAAATATAAAAATTCAATGTGTATAATTATTTAATTGTCATCCTGGTATCGAGGACTCATACAAACGCAGCTGCTGCCATTTTTGCGATGATTGTTTTGTACACTCTAATGGATTATACGATAACTAACAAACTGGTAAGATTTTAAAACAGTTTTCTCTTAAATCAATATCTTTTATCACCTTAATTATGCATGTGGTGAAATGTGTAATAAGTGCTATGACTTCCCTTAAATGTCCGTCTAGTTTGAATTTGCCTCTGCTCGAAACTGCGGTCTTCACGGAAACTTTGCATTCAAATATTTCAACTCAAATCAATATTCTGTCTAATTATTTACTTGTGTGGCGAGTAATAAGCAGGATAATGTACCATTACTACATTTATGTGCTGAACTTGGATGGCTTTCTTAGGCTATTGAATGGATAAAATATAGAAATCCCTTTCATCTACTAAAAATCTCGTCAGTTGGAAGTGGAATCTGTGTAATAGTAACATTCGCTAATATTTTTAATCAGAAGCACCTCAATTTGTAATAGGTTTTCATTGTCTGTGTTTCAGCGTGTCGAATGATTTGAGTCTGAAGAGGCTCGAGAAGATCGAGATCCTGGAAGGCATTCTGGATGCCATGGAGAGAGGCGTACGTATCCGTGCTGATGAACGTCACTGATCCTTCACCGCTGCTTCCGGTCTGATGTTGTGTCTTGTTTTGTTCAGCTGTCTCACCCGGACATGGAGAGGAAAGCCCGAGCCGTGGTGTCCTTAAGCAGATTGTTTTCCATGGTACGTTGCTGCGCCGCTGCGGTAAGTGTTTGTTAATGGTGTAATTCTTAAGTCTATTATTAAAGTATTACATATGTTACAAAAGCTGATTTATTCATTTTAAGTATTTGGGATTTTAAGAGCAAGTGGAAAATGTGCTGAATGTTTCATTTCATCCAAGTGAAATTAGCAAGCAGTTAGACTGAATTTACATTCGTTTTAAACGCGGAGCCCGGCGCGAGTCGACACAGGTTGCGTGCGTGCGTCAAGCCTCCAGTACTGAAAACAGAACTGATACGGGAGCTCTTGAAATGCGCTGTGACGCAGCTCTTTGTGTAAGATAACGTTCACGTACTAACAAAAACATCTAAGAATGTATCTTTTATTCTCCAGTACTGAAAACAGAACTGATACGGGAGCTCTTGATATGCGCTGTGACGCAGCTCTTGCAAATTACAATTTTTTTATTATTTTTTTTTTTTATGACCCGTTATATCATTTGGGTCTTTGGTGTACTTTTGGAGTCTCCAAGTGTCCTTTTATTGGAAAGACATCTAAATTTATCTTTAAAAAAAGTTAGCAGAAAATACAGTTTTGTAAGAATCACCCTTCAATCTTTTGGTTTACTTTGCTGGAGATAGCAAATGACAAAATTAACATTATATTAAACGATATCAATTAAGCATATGCTTAATTTCATGACGTTGTTTGATTAATCGCAATTAATCACAGGAAAAAAGTGTGTGATTTTAATCTGAATAATTGTAATCTATTGACAGCCCTAATTTATATACGTGTATATATAATTCCAATCAAAATTACGAACATTTTAGCTAAAATTAACGTCAAACAGAAACGATAAAATTCATATCAAGATATTATAAAAAGCTCCTATAGCAGATGACTGATTTTGGGTTCAGTGCTGTCTGAGTAATGACCGTCTCGCTCTACAGATTCACGCTATCTTCAGGTGGTTTCATGCAGTAAAAAGAAGGCCATCAAGGAGCTGAAAGCAGAGCCGGACCCTTGGACGTTTTCAGTGAGAGTCTTTAAGATCGAATAACATGTTTGTTTCCATATTCAACGCACTGCATTCATAGGATCATTCGAATCGGTTTCAAACATGATTGACTGTGAGACAGAAATAAGACGCTGTCTTTTTCATCTCCAACTCACATTTTCATTCTAGAAAAGCGAAGATATGAAAATCAAGGGAAATGAGCATTTTCAGAAGAAGAAATATGATCTGGCGTTGAAGTGGTACACCAAAGCCATTAAATACCAGTAAGTGACCGAAGAACCTCTCTGCTTTAATTCCCAGTCCTCGTCAGTTTCCCACGCTCTTCTTTCATCCTGTGTTTCAGCCCGAGCAACCACCTCCTGTACGGGAACCGAGCGCTCTGCTACATTCGCTCGGAGAAATATCTGTGAGTTGGACACAAACCGTACACAGTATTCAAAAACCTGATTGATTGGTGATACTGATTGTGGGAACCGTTTTCAGGAAAGCACTTGGAGACGGAAAGAGAGCCATTATATTGCAGCCAGACTGGGCCAAGGTGAGTGCGGGTTGACTGAACACTGATTCTTCATCATCATCATCATCATCATCATCTCTCTGTGTCAGATAGACGCTGGAGAAACGTTGCACACTATGTAGTAGGGCTGGGTTGACTATTTGAATCAATTCTCATTTTGATGAACTGATAACGATCCATATACAAGAACAAAACTTAATGGAATGTTATTTATAGCGCATCCCATCCAATAAATCGCAGTAATCTTTGCGCTTTGTCACTTTTGATATGAAGCAAAGCCTCAGCTTTCAAATGAAGTATTATTATGAAATCCAAACAAGAAATACCATTTCTGTGTTTTTTTTATGTCATGACCGATCGCTGTAGCACCTCAGTTGAAGCGTGACGCGATCGTCTCTAGTTACAGCAGCTAATAAACATGAACATCACTTACTGAATCACGTAATCAGCCGCAGAAACAGCTTCGTCACATTTACCTCCGCAAAGACACTCCGTGACCATAAACTCAGTAGTCAGCTAAAATAATAACTAGAGAGAGGAGCGTTTTCATTAATGTATGCATGTTAATTATGTTTTTATTTAATCTGTTCTTCAGTATTTAAGGATTGCTTGAATAAATCCGTCATGTAAACAAGTTGTGATATTCAGTTTGAATGTTTATGACAAACTGGAGTAGAAATAATAATGTCAGTAAAATGTTATAATAATAATTTGTTATCATATAATAAGCTTTTATTCTAAAAGCTGCCATATGTGCAATTTAAATGCTTGTTCACAAATATGTGACTCTGGAGCACAAAACCAATAGTCAGCTAAAATAATAACTAGAGAGAGGAGCGTTTTCATTAATGTATGCATGTTAATTATGTTTTTATTTAATCTGTTCTTCAGTATTTTAAGGATTGCTTGAATAAATCCGTCATGTAAACAAGTTGTGATATTCAGTTTGAATGTTTATGACAAACTGGAGTAGAAATAATAATGTCAGTAAAATGTTATAATAATAATTTGTTATCATATAATAAGCTTTTATTCTAAAAGCTGCCATATGTGCAATTTAAATGCTTGTTCACAAATATGTGACTCTGGAGCACAAAACCAGTCATAAGGGTCAATTTTTTTTAAATTGAAAGTTGAATAAATAATCTTTCGATTGATGTATGGTTTGTTAGGATAGGAAAATATTTGTAAATCTGGAATCTGAGGGTGCAAAAAAATCTAAATATTGAGAAAATCATCTTTAAAGTTGTTCAAATGAAGTTCTTAGCAATGCATATTACTAATCAAACATTAAGTTCTGATATATTTACGGTAGGAGATTTACTAAATATCTTCATGGAACATGATCTTTACTTAATATCCTAATGATTTTTGGCATAAAAGAGAAATGTATAATTGTGACTCATACAATGTATTGTTGGCTATTGCTACAAATATCCCCCAGCGACTCAACACTGCTTCTGTGCTGCAGGGTCATATATTAATGTACCAGATGATTTATTTTGCTGTCGGAGCGAATGTTAACACAAGTTCTGTTAGTGTTAGCTTCCGTTCACAGCTGTCGGAGTTCCCAGACTACGACTGCTTCTGAGCGTCTGAAAAGCATCCGTTAGTTGAGATCCTCTGAATGATTTTCTGCAGCTCTGGTGAATCTGGTGGAGCTGCACCAGGGTTTTTATGCCATGTGTTCTCTGGGCTTTCAGGGTCACTACCGCTTCTGTGACGCTCTGTTCTATCTGGGGGAGCATCAGAAAGCTCTGAGGGCCAACCTCCTGGCTCAGGACGCCTGCGGCGCAGACACCGAGGGACAGAAAGACCTGCTGCAGCAGCACGAGCGCTTCCAGACGGAGCTGCAGGAGAGCAGAGGTAACGTCTGATCCTTCAGCACGGCTTCAGTGCTGAGCCACCGCAGCAGAGCGCTTCATTTGTGTTGTGTTTCCAGCAGAGATGAAGACCAAGAAAACCGAAACGAAGAAAACTTCTTCTAAAAGCAGGTTAGTGCTTGTTAGTGCTGTACTGCTGCTGTCGTCCCGCTGTGTGAGGGAATGATTTAGGTGTGTTTTGTACGGCAGATCACACGCGGCCGGCGATTCTTCAGGTCCTCATCAGAAGTCCAGTCGTCCGCCGGAAGCCACGTCTCAGTCTTCAGTCCTGGAGAGTTCGGTGAGATGAGACGCTTGCACTATACGGTGTTATTTTACGATTATTTATGTACTGTTATAGTTTGCATAATATTTTAGATTAGATTTTATTTTTATACTTTAAATTAGTTTTTATTGCTTTGTGTTACTTTCGTGCGTGTCATTTTTATTAGCTTTTGTTTTTACTTCTACAATATTAATATTACGTTTTTTTCTCCTCTCTTGGTTTCATTTATTTTTAGTTCAGTTTTAGTTTTTCATTAATTTATTTCCAGTTAGTAATACAGTGCTGTAAACATGTTTTAGTAGTTGTAGATAATAACCCTGCTGTGAATGTGATTGTGTTTTATCACACGGATGTGAAGTCTAATCGCTGTAATGTTCTTCTCCCAAACACCAGCAATCTGAAACCGGGAAGGACCGGGAGGACACTGCAGGTGAGGAAGGAGGAGATGCTTGAGAGGTTGTTTTTTATAAAGTAAAGTTGCTTTTTGCTTAGTGTTGAACATGCATTGGCCGTCTAGTACAACTGAGCTCAGTTCCACTAGGAAGGATCTAAGGATTCAAGAGAGTGCATGTTGTTGTTTAGTCTTCTTATTGTGTGGTTTTAAGGGATATTTGTCTTCACGAGTAAGAGATAAGAGACTGTCTCCATTGCAAGGTTTTTATCGTGACTGGATGATGTTGTGAAGCAGTTTCCCTTGTTATGGCTTGTGGTGTAAAAAACGCTTACTGGATCTGTGCTGGTCAGATGAAGTCTGAGCATTGAAACCTACACAACTAAGATTATACAATAAAGTCCTGCTTTTTATTATCATCACTTCATCTCCTGCTTTGCTCTTCTCTGGTGTTTTGGTGTAGTTGACAGGATGATCTAATAACTGGAAGCTTCCGTTTAAATGTGCACTGCGCTACTGAAAGCTGCTTTATGACGGTCTTATTTTGTTTTTGCGTGTTTTTTATTTGATGCGAGCGTGTGGGCCCATTGTATGTACTTGACGTGTTCATGAGTCTCAGTGCTCGCGTGTGGTCGCTCGAGTTTACTTCAAATTAAATCAGATAGCTTTCTTTACACGTGAACTTGTTAAACATTTGAGTGAAAAGGTTGTAGTGGAGTCTCTGCTCTTTATATGTCTTTTGAAAGGCGACCCTCTGAGGTCTGTTTCAAATACGCATGAAGCCTTGGTGGTGGTCTGACAAAGACACGGATTGCACCTGCTGTGTTGACTGTATCTTCGAGTCACAAGGATCTCAGCTTTCCAAAGATATGTGAAATACATGTTTAGCTTGGAGTTGTTGTATGTCATGAAGTTACCGCGCAGAGTCCCGTGGAACACCAACAGGTTTCTGCATCAGTGATCGCTGGATTCCTGTGCCGCACATACTTGAGCTGGTGTTAGTGGAGTTAAGCTTGAATATCGTGCTGCTGGTGTAATTGGAAGGATGTCAAATGTAATGAGGTTTATTTCATGTGTGTATGTTTTGGCGAGGAAATGAGCTTCGCTGAGTGTTGATGGTGTTTCCTGCGTCTCTTCTGTCGTGTGTGTGTGTGTGTGTGTGTGAGAGAGTGTGTGTATGTGTGTGAGAGAGTGTGTGTGAGAGAGTGTGTGTGAGAGAGTGTGTGTGAGAGAGTGTGTGTGAGAGAGTGTGTGTGAGAGAGTGTGTGTGAGAGAGTGTGTGTGAGAGAGTGTGTGTGAGAGAGTGTGTGTGAGAGAGTGTGTGTGAGAGAGTGTGTGTGAGAGAGTGTGTGTGAGAGAGTGTGTGTGAGAGAGTGTGTGTGAGAGAGTGTGTGTGAGAGAGTGTGTGTGAGAGAGTGTGTGTGAAGTCTAATCGCTGTAATGTTCTTCTCCCAAACACCAGCAATCTGAAACCGGGAAGGACCGGGAGGACACTGCAGGTGAGGAAGGAGGAGATGCTTGAGAGGTTGTTTTTTATAAAGTAAAGTTGCTTTTTGCTTAGTGTTGAACATGCATTGGCCGTCTAGTACAACTGAGCTCAGTTCCACTAGGAAGGATCTAAGGATTCAAGAGAGTGCATGTTGTTGTTTAGTCTTCTTATTGTGTGGTTTTAAGGGATATTTGTCTTCACGAGTAAGAGATAAGAGACTGTCTCCATTGCAAGGTTTTTATCGTGACTGGATGATGTTGTGAAGCAGTTTCCCTTGTTATGGCTTGTGGTGTAAAAACGCTTACTGGATCTGTGCTGGTCAGATGAAGTCTGAGCATTGAAACCTACACAACTAAGATTATACAATAAACTCCTGCTTTTTATTATCATCACTTCATCTCCTGCTTTGCTCTTCTCTGGTGTTTTGGTGTAGTTGACAGGATGATCTAATAACTGGAAGCTTCCGTTTAAATGTGCACTGCGCTACTGAAAGCTGCTTTATGACGGTCTTATTTTGTTTTTGCGTGTTTTTTATTTGATGCGAGCGTGTGGGCCCATTGTATGTACTTGACGTGTTCATGAGTCTCAGTGCTCGCGTGTGGTCGCTCGAGTTTACTTCAAATTAAATCAGATAGCTTTCTTTACACGTGAACTTGTTAAACATTTGAGTGAAAAGGTTGTAGTGGAGTCTCTGCTCTTTATATGTCTTTTGAAAGGCGACCCTCTGAGGTCTGTTTCAAATACGCATGAAGCCTTGGTGGTGGTCTGACAAAGACACGGATTGCACCTGCTGTGTTGACTGTATCTTCGAGTCACAAGGATCTCAGCTTTCCAAAGATATGTGAAATACATGTTTAGCTTGGAGTTGTTGTATGTCATGAAGTTACCGCGCAGAGTCCCGTGGAACACCAACAGGTTTCTGCATCAGTGATCGCTGGATTCCTGTGCCGCACATACTTGAGCTGGTGTTAGTGGAGTTAAGCTTGAATATCGTGCTGCTGGTGTAATTGGAAGGATGTCAAATGTAATGAGGTTTATTTCATGTGTGTATGTTTTGGCGAGGAAATGAGCTTCGCTGAGTGTTGATGGTGTTTCCTGCGTCTCTTCTGTCGTGTGTGTGTGTGTGTGTGTGTGAGAGAGTGTGTGTATGTGTGTGAGAGAGTGTGTGTGAGAGAGTGTGTGTGAGAGAGTGTGTGTGAGAGAGTGTGTGTGAGAGAGTGTGTGTGAGAGAGTGTGTGTGAGAGAGTGTGTGTGAGAGAGTGTGTGTGAGAGAGTGTGTGTGAGAGAGTGTGTGTGAGAGAGTGTGTGTGAGAGAGTGTGTGTGAGAGAGTGTGTGTGAGAGAGTGTGTGTGAGAGAGTGTGTGTGAGAGAGTGTGTGTGAGTGTGTCTGTGTGTGTGTGTGAGAGTGTGAGTGTGTGTGTGTGAGTGTGTGTGAGCGCGTGAGTGTGTGTGAGCGCGTGAGTGTGTGTGAGCGCGTGAGTGTGAGAGCGTGTGTGTGTGTGAGAGTGTATCTCTGTGTGAGTGTGTGTGTGTGTGTGTGTGAGCGCGTGAGTGTGAGAGCGTGTGTGTGTGTGAGAGAGTGTATCTCTGTGTGTGTGTGTGTGTGTGAGCGCGTGAGTGTGAGAGCATGTGTGTGTGTGTGTGTCTGTCAGAGAGAGTGTGTGTGTGTGTTCACTCCTTCATGCCGCTGCGCTTGTTTCTAGAAGCGACGGGTGTTTGGAGTGAGTGGTTGGTCTGGTCCTGCGGGTTCTTGATCTTCTTGAACGCAGGAGAGCTTGATTCACTTTGTCATGCGACGCATTGATCCCATAATTCACTTGTTTTCAGGGAATTCAGGAGCTCGAGCGCACGCTGACGGAAGAACTGACGGACTCAAAGACACAAAGAGGTAATTAACTGGGTTATCGTTATGAAAATGACAGAGAAAAGGCTAATTTTTTTATATCTTTTAAAATATTTTTATATTATTTAATGTTAAATATCAAACTGATGTACTTATGAAGAGTGTTTTGTTCCACACAACTTTAAGATGAAACGTGAATTTTCAACAACCGTAAAATAAGGTCACTCGAGTCTGGCTAGATTCACTTTCATTTGGTTTCACGTCGTATTGAAGCTTTCAGATGATTCAGACAGTAACAATGTTGACTTTATTTCTGCTGTTTCCTCACCGTGTGTGTGTGTGTGTGTGTGTGTGTGTGTGTGATGCTGAACAACTCAACCAGCGTTATTAACTTTGCTCATTGTTAATGTTAGTTAATGCTTTGCTAATCAGAGCTTATTGTAGATTAAATAAGCATTAACTGCATTCAATTTCATCTAGCATACAATAAACATTTTTATTTTGGTTTTGTTGAAGTATTGAAGTGTTAAACTACAACGTAAGCTATGTAGACATTGACAAAAACACAACAAAATTAATAAGAGTTTAACTACGATGAAGAAGAGAACAAAGTATGAAACTCAAATCTAAATCAAAATATTAACACGGTGTTAATAAAGAATAACAATTTGGTCCCTTTGTAAATTCTCTT